AATAATAATTAAAAAAAGAAAAAAAGTTTGGTGTTCTCATTTATTTTTTATGCCAAAAAGACTAATTATAATCTAATCTGATAGGCCAGATGGTGGAGGCCTTAATTTTAATTTGTAGTAGCACATTTGAGCATGTATTTACAGGATGATATTACTTATTACAAAAAGAAAAAATATAGGAAGTGCCAGGTGAAACAAATTTGAGCATTACTGTAGAACTTATCAATACCTTACCATGAATTTTCTTGAAGGGTATTTTACTTCTTTTTTTTTTTTAAATCATTAAAACATTTGTCAATTATTAGGAACCATAACTAGAGATACCTGCAAAGAGAATAAAAAATTTGACATGACTATTTTTTTTCTGATAAATTGGTGAAAACTATAATAAAAAATTAAATGGCTTTAAATCATACTCTTGGAATTTTCCTTTGCCTAATTCACAGGAAAAGTTAGGCAATCGTTACAGGTGTTGTAATAATAGGACCATACCCTGTAACAAACTGGATACACAAAGTCTTGGAGTTCTATTGCCTTCTCTCTGCAACTCTCAGTGGTTACGCTTGTCAATTTATTTTTTTTAAATAAAATTTCACTTTAATTGTGATTTTAATGAATATTTACAGGGAAGTTATATTTTCATTAATTCATTCTTGCACATTTTATCCCCTTGCTCTCTTTTTCCCCTCCCCTAGTTCTTTCTCTCTTTTAAATATTCATTCATTATCTAACTGCCCCTCGACTCCCAGTCCTCTTTGCAATGACATATCTCTTATTCTGGATGTTTCATATATATATATATATATATATATATATATATATATATATATAATGCTTAACCATATATTTATTGTAGGCAGTTTTTTCTTTTATCTGTTCCAATGCAATGGTTATTATCTATTCACTCTTATCTTATTTTCCTTTACTCCCTCCCTCATGTCAGACCTGCTCTATAAGAGTGGTGCTATGCAGTGTTTGCCCTTTTGTGACTGAGATATTTTACTCAGCATGATGTGCTCCAGGGCCTCCTATGTTGTGTAAGGTTTTACGAGTTTATTTTTTCAGTGCTGCATAGTATTCCATTGTATGAATCTACCAAAGTTTTTCTATCTATTCATTTGTTGATGGGTACTTAGGTTGTTTCTATCTCTTACTATTTTAAATAATGCAGCAATAAACATGGGTGTGCATATATCTGTTTGGATGGTGGTTAT